CACTGATACCGTTCTCTACTACTGTATATATAACTTCAATCACACTGATCTGTCCTGCAGGTGTGATTGCACTGCTGTCGTTGTACCAGGTGATCGCAGGTGCTGGGACACCTGTGCTGTTGCAGGTGAATGTTGCTTGACCTCCAACATCTATTGTTTGATCCGCGGGATGCTGTGTTACTGTGGCAGGCCCTGTACAACACGGAGGAAAATATCGCGTTGAATATACATTTGTACATATACCAGAAGAGATAGTAAAGGATTAATGCCTGTCGATATGAATACTCTATATTACCATGGATTTGTAGTTTTCTCATTGACCACACACACTGTGTTCGGTACCGAGGTGTAACATCCGGTTGAGAGAAAATTGTATCAGGAGTGCCACAGGGTGCCACAGGGAGGCCTGCCCTCTTTCTGGTTAAGAATAGAGGACTTCTTTGCAAGAGGAGTAAAGGAGGCGATTTAAATTAGAGCTCACAGACCTACAATGAAAAGAAACGGGGGGGGGCACACAAGTTATCTGGCACGTATGACCCGCTACTACGGTCACATGTCTCTGACGTAACGTTCTAAGTGTACACGGGTCCATTCCGTGAACAATGTTAAAGGAGTCAGCCGATTTGGGATAATAAGTCCCAATTCATTCTTTTGTTGAGAGGAAAGTTTATTTTTTATTTCATAATCATATTATGTCTTGTACCAACACAGATGAGCTTTCATGGTAGGTCAATTCTGTTGTACCCACGTTTCTGTCTCTATGTGTAGTAGAAGACCTTACGATAGTCGCTGTACTTTTGATGTGTCAATAAAGTTCATGTGACTAATTTAAACAAGACCGTACCTATCCCTCCCAGCCAGCCGCACATCCACCGCTACACGCTCCGGTTTCCGCGTTACAGGCTGAGTTTCCAGATGAACAATGACAGGTTTGGGTGCAGCTTGCCCCGTAAGTGCCGCCCGGACACGCTAAAGACAAACACAGAGAAAAAAAATTCCATTAGTTACCGCAACGTTTTAACCCTTGTCCTGCTGGCATTCCTGGCACATTATTTTTCAATAATTTCATGTCTTAATTAGACCATAGACCCCCAATTTTTTTGGCCCTGCAGTGGCATAGTTACTTCCGCATTCGTTGCGTTTCGCTGCGGTGTGATGCGTTGCACGAGAAATACCCCCAAATCGTACCTATACAGGGTGCTATATAGATGGTACTGTATGTGCCGCGCGACATATGTTGCGCACAGCAGGGCAAGGGTTTAAAAAAACAGAAAAGAGTAAGAGTTGCATTCTATTTACTGTGACTGAAAGAATGCACGTACAACTGAAAATGTGGTTAAAAGTGGTCAATGTAGTTTAAGGGGTGGAAAGTCAGATTTTTCAAAGTCAATATTCTAGTCACTTATCTGGATACTAAGCCGGAAGAACTCAATCGCAATATCTATTGGCATCCATGGAGCAAAGGTGACGAAAATTTTAATGAAAAATGGTTACTGGTAGGATCCTGGGCTGATGTTTGGGGTACCACCCAGAAAATAAAGGACTCATTTTAAGAGTGCGTTTCTGTGCGTTGCAGTATGAAATACTGATTCAAATGTGGGGCAGTATGTATCTATATCATACTGGATGCCTTATTCATAATGTTTTCGATTCTGCCACCCTGAAATTGCATCGGATGCCTTTAAAAGTGTAAAATGAATCTGTGAATATATTACCGTCTTGACACGTCATTCCGGTCAGCCCAGGAGGACAGGTACACCCTACCGGATCCGGAACCGTCATCAGCTGGCCCTGACAGCCTCCACTGCAGCTGAACCTACACGTTTTACCGAATCGTCCGGAGGAACAGGCTGTTTTAACAACGGAAAAGTCATTACAATGGTCAAAGGTGTCTGTTTTTTTTCTTTTAATACGCACAATCATGATAATGATCAGTCTGGCATACTCATTAACACCAGAGCGAAATAAGGAATGCCGTGTCAAGTGCCTTTCCCAAGGGCACAAATTGGTGACATGGCAGCTAGGATTCGAACTCGGGACCTCTTGGTTCTGAGCCCAATGCTCTACCAGTACGCCATTCGACCCCGGGCGTGTACAGAATTAGATCAAGTGATGCTTTACTCGTTTCTTTTGAGAAGGTACATTAACGGAATGAAAATCTGCAAGTAACGTCCTAGTACTGTGTTCTACTGAAATGATATTGTAGTGACTTAATAAAAAGACTACATTAACGAATGAGTCGAAACTATTTACATTTAAGGCCCTGTTTTGCACCTTTGGAACCACAAATGTGATTGGATCGTGCATTCCATTAATTTGTACAGGGATAAATCATAATAAGTTCAAATTAAAATACATTCCTGCCCGAAGGCTAATTGCAAATACCAATGAATAAAAGAACATTGGAACAGAGTACAAAATAACTTACAAAAATCTACATAATAAAGGTAATTGTACCAAAAAATACAAGCTAATGTTTAAAACTATTTCTGAAAGTAGTTTTAACTTCTCTTTGGATGTT